GGAAAGGCCGCTGGTGATCGGACGGGTCAGAAACTTCTCAAGATGAGCCCACCTTTGCCGCCAAGGTGGCAGATCTCACGATCAAAAGAACTTGCAATTTTCATCGACGGGTCTATTTGAATCACAGCGATCAGTCGGAGTCCAGTCTTGCAAGACTGAACCTTTTCTTGCAAGTGCCCTCTCACCCTCTCTCAGGAGTCTGGCGCCATTGGGGTTGCTACCTTTTAGGCTACCAAGGTGATTTGTTTTAGAGAGTTGCTGGCAATGAAGCTCAGAGGTGCCCCCTAGGTTTTCCTGTGGCAAAGTTGGTGGCAGAAAGAATGGAGGACGTCGCAGGACATGCAGCTGCTGAAGTTGTTGAGATTGCATACAGTGGAACGTCTTTGGAGCCCTTCATACAATCTGTTAAGCTGAAGGTTGGAGGCAAAGATACTTGTGAGAGCTTCATCTTTGAAGCACCCAATCCAACAATCTCTGCAAAGTCTGAAAAGCCAGGACATTCGTCTGCAAACCCTTTCAGTGCACCTCGGGTTGAGCCTTTCAAAGCTTGGGGCTGCACAGTCATTGTCCTTTCCTGGCAGAAGTTCTTCAAGGGTTTTGTGCCTGAGAAGTTCATCTGTGTCCGCGGCTGTGGCAGGGCTACTGTGGTACGCAACGGCTGGTACTCTAAGCTGGTCAGGGCTTTGGGCCTTCACCGACCTTTGTTCCTCCTCTCACAGGACTACCGTTGCAAAGACTGCCATGCAAAGCCCGACGGCAAGGGGGGCTATGGCAGCACCCTATATCTAGCACACAGCGCAGAGATACGCAATCAGTTGCGTCCATTTATCATGGACCAGCTGCCCATAAGCTTCACAGAAACTGGCGTGCCGGTGGAGCGCTCTCTACAGGATCTCATCCACTTTCTGGCTCCAGAAGCGATTGGTTTTCCTCGCATTGCACGCCTTGTACAAGAGCTGCACGTGCTGGCGGAGAAGCGAAGAGAGCTTGTATATTATCAATATCAAGACGAGTTGAAGACGAAGCGCACTGAAGAAGAAGCGAAGCGTCAGACCGGCATTGGGAGGTTCTTCAGCAGCACGGGAGAGCGGGTTGCCTCGAGCGGGGTCGAGCAGCCGGTGCAGACGTGGGCAATGGGGAAGCGGGTACCAGATTGGGTCGCTGGGCCAGCGCTCCTGTCGTCCATCTTTCTTCAGCAAGCTGCTGCAAACATGCCCACCTACAACAGGCAAATGGCGCTTGTCAATGGCGAGTGTGTTGGAGTTGACCACTGCCACAAGCTCATGCGAAGAGTCAGGTGGGTTGATTCAGCAATGCAAGTCGCCCGGAGTGAACAGCACCTTGCTTCCTTGCACTGTACTGGAAGAAAGCAGCTACTTGCAATCAATCTGATGCATGAAATCAGTTGTTCGTTTTGTCCATGAGAACATGCAATCAAGACTGTCAAATTGCGGAAGTTGGTGTGAAAGCACAGCGTATGACATTTCTTGCAGTCTGCATATCTGCATTCAATGTCCGATTCAAGTGTGTTAGAAAGCACTTTCTTTCTTCAGGGGGGTGGAGGGGCAGCGCGTTCTGGAGGCCACCCTCACCATGATGACAGAGACTGGAGAGGTTGCCACCAGTCTCTGGACGCACAGCACGTCCTTGGAGGTGGTCAGAGGCAATCTACGTCAAGTCTACGAGAGGATGGCATCGCTTGGTCGCGCGGTGAGCTTCTTCTGCTGGCTGCACTTCAGAAAGTTCCTCTGTTCTGCGATCGTGGCCTGGATGCACACCGCTAATCAAGTAAGTTCTAACATAACGCTTGCACGCTCTCATTTGGACTGATGTGCCCACTGGAAGCTTTGAGCATTTAGCAAGGATAAGATTAGCATTTTGAACGGTTCCAGTATGCCGCGACCTCGAGGGTTGTGCCCTGATGCAAAGTGGGTGTGTGTTCCTTGCAGCCTCGGGTGCTCTTCTGCGATTGGCCGGAGGTGATGGGCCCCTTTTTCATGGACGTCTGGCCCGGTCTGGAGGCGTACCTGATGGACATCCTGCACGCCATCATGCGAGTGACCAAGCACGTTCCGGAAGATCACCCATTTCGAGGTACTGTCAACATCCTGATGTGCCATTTCTGATTGATCTTGTAATGTGTTCTGTGAATCTGTCTGCAATGGTTGAACATGACTAATTGGTCTGAGGCAATTCTGTGAGCTCGGTCACTTTTTGGCGTAACCAAAGTCTGTAGACAGGTCTCCAAGTGTAGTGATGTCACAAAAGTGTTATAGGCCCTGTCATGCTCTTAAGAGTGCAAGCTGAGTGTCTTTGCTCAATTTGCTGCTTTTGTAGCATGGAGACGCACTCTTATACTGCCAGGCAATCTGCTGTTGCCACAAGCATCTGGTGTTGTAAAATACAATTCTGGAGATCATTCACTCTTTGTCTTGTTGCTGAGCAGGTTGGTTACAAAGCAAGCTGAGCGAGGCCATCTTCGTCAAAAACCAGGCAGACCTGGTGGGGATCATGAAGGAACTTGAGCAGAAGGGGAAGACGCTTTCGGACAAGGCCGGGAAGAATGCACTGAGAAGATGCCGCAAGGCGGTACCACCTCCTGAGATATTGCTTGCGCGGCTTGAGGTAATGTTTTGTCACTTGTGAGGCACTTTCTTCATTGCAGTGCGCTCAAAAAACTTTCAGCTGACGAGTGGCAAGAGGCAAAAGTTTTTGGCTGAACTGCATCATCTTGACGTCATACAAGATTGGGGATGTGAACCACCATTTACAGTGTGGGTTGTCATGGCGAGCTGGTCAGACACATTGTGCAGACATTGAGAAATACCAGGCTGCTTTTTAGGTTTTGCTTATAGCTGGGTTAATGGGGTGAGCTGGCTTGCGCTCGTCAACTGAGTTACCTTGATGTGAACGCTGGTTCTCACCTCGGTCTGATTGGTTTGCAGGCTGTTGGAGATGAGGCGTCCTGCAAGGCCAACCCACTGACTACCGAGCCCCTCCTTGGGCCTCATGCGCAACGAGCCTTTCAAGGTCTTCTACACCAAGCGCGGCTTGGTTTGCTGAGCGGTGGGTTACTATAACTTCATTCTCTGGCTTAATCAAAGTGTTCGAAACTCGGCGTAGTTCAGGTTGCTCGAATTCTCAGGTTGTTTTCTGGCTTGAGCAATCACACTTTCTGAAGGTTCACTTGTAAGTCCGGAGCTTCCAAGATTGAGTGAGTCATTCTGTTTGAGTTGACGTCCACAGGCGGCACAAAGGGCATTCCGGTCACATGTATCAAAAGCGCAAATGAGCAGGCAAGTGCAGCCAGCACTTCTGAGGTCAACGTCGAATCTGCCTTGAGGTTAGCGTCGAATCTGCCTTGGGGTTAGCGTCATACCTGGACAGGTGGTCATGAAGGGAGTCGCCAACCTTCAAGGTTTCTTTTTCCTTGCCTTTCTCTATAACATAGAATCTTTGCAGAGCCCTGATATCAATCCCCACTCGTTGCAGATCCGCCGAACATGGAGATGTACTACTCCAAGCCTACGTGCGGCGCAAACGCCCGCCCCCAGTATGCCTGCAAACGGGTGGGCTCAAGACTGGAGGGCTTCCACGTGCATTTCCAGGCTATCCTGAAGAACTACAACATCAGCGCGGAGCTTGCGTGGGCGGTCGCTTCCACGTGGCTGACGGGGTGGAACATCCGGATGAGGCAAGCGAACCGCGGTGAACCCGACCACGGCCCCGCCTTCGACCTCGAGATATTGTACCGGATTGGGGAGCAAATGGAAGCTCTTGGTTTGGCGCCGGCGTACAGGGACGTGCAGTTCACCATGAAGGAGACCGCTGAAACTTTCGGCATCCAGTGCACCCCTGCTGGGTTCCGAGAAGCTGCGGCTGCTTTTCAGGAGGGGGAGTTTGCTCCAACTCAGTTCCCGGAGGTCGCGTACCTGGATGCCTCCGACAGTGGTAAGCTTTTCTGTGAGTCGGAATACATCACATGGTGCATCGACGAAGTGACACTTGTGACCGCAGTTTCTTGCGGGCTTATCACAGATTGTGGACGTTGCCTGAAAGGTTTGGTTGTTCCTTCATGAGGATCCAGCCTGATCACAACTACAAGAATCCTTATGCTTAAGGCTTCCACTGAAACGGAAGTGAACATTGAGGCAAGAAACAAATGCGCGCAAGGCATTTTCTCACAGGTATTTGAGGGGGTGCTTCTCTATCTCGTTTCTTGCTCAAGGATCCGATTGATCTGAGTTCTCTTCGTGCTACTTGAACAAACAACTGATGAACCTCTTTTTCCTTGCAGGTCCGGACTTTGATGCTGCTCTCGAGCTAGAGTACAGCCTGGGCGCTGCACACCCGCAAGTTGCCCCTGTTTCCGGGGGGTGTGAACCCCCCGACCAGCCAGCCGTCAGGGGCGCGCAAGCCCAGCCGGTCCCCTCCCCTTTGCCCACAGTCCCGGAGGAGGGCGCGCACGACCAGCCGGTCGTCTCTCCGTCCGCCCCAGTCCCAACGGGCGGCGCGCACCGCCAGCCGGTCGTCTCCCCGTCGTCCCCAGTCCCAATGGGCGACGCGCACGACCAGCCGGTCGTCTCCCCGTCGCCCCCAATCCAAACGGGCGGCGCGCACCGCCAGCCGGTCCTCTCCCCGTCGCCCCCAGTCCCAACGGGTGGCGCGCACCGCCAGCCGGTCGTCTCCCCGTCGCTCCCAGTCCCAACGGGCGGCGCGCACCGCCAGCCGGTCCTCTTCCCACACCAGCCGGTCGTCTCTCCGTCGCCTCTGCCAGTTTCGAGGGGCGGCGCGGCCCACCAGCCATTTGTTCCTCCAAGCTTAGTTGGCGGCGCGCTGCAGCAGACGGCCGTCTCGCAGCCGCACGCTGTCCACGGTGGAGGTGCAATCAGGCACCTCGCTGACGCGCCGCAGCCTGCCGTTCCCTGCCGGGGCGCATGCATTCAGCCGGCTGTCTCACGACCGCCTGCTGTTCTTGGTGGGGGGGCTCGCAGCCAACCTGTCTCGCAAGCGCCCTTTGTATCCCGGGGTGCACCGTGCAACTTGAACAGGCCCACAGTTGCGCTGCCGCCGGCTGCACCTCGTGGCCCGGGCGCACGCAGCCAGCCCGCCCTGGTTCCGCTGCGCGCTGCCTTTGGCAGCGGCGCCGTCCTCGCGGGGGGAAAGAGAACCGTGCTGCCCTTCAGCGCCGGTTTCTCAGAGCACGCTGGCGGGCAAAGCGTGCGTCCGCCAGCAACTTCACTCGCCGGGGAGAGGCGGACTTCGCAGCTGAGCGCCGCGGCATTAGGGGATGCGGGCAGTCGTCACGGCGGCTTTTCTACTGAGGTGGGGAGTGAGCCACCTGGCGGTTCGGATAGTGCATTTGCGCATCACTTCAATGCGCCACCTAGCCGGAAAAGCAAGTTGCGGACGTTGCCTGCGTTGCATAACTTCAACCTCGTCCACTTCAAGCGACCTATCACGACCGCAAGCGAGCACACCCTCTTCTTGGAACTCTACCTCAAGCATGCAACCAAAAGTGGGACGAATTACCGAGCCCTTTTGATGGAATTCAATTCGGTGGTTGCACGGCAAATCTGGGGACTTTCGCAAAGTGGTCATCAACAAGCCATAGAGAGCGACCTTTACTTCAAGGACTACCGAGACATTACCCGTTATGAGCGCCAGCTAGTACGCTCGTTGCTTTCAAGGGAGTCGGATAACACAAGCATAGCCTTGAGGTCCGTAATTGACTCTGCTAGCATAACCCCTCCAAGCTCTCTTTCTCCTCCTCAGACGTTGGGTCGCGGGTTAGGTGTCGAGCAAAGCACTTTTGAAGCAAGCCCATTGCAACAGGTTGATCCACCAGATATTGTGCCGGAAGTCTCGGAGGCTCAGCCGGGATACCATGGTCCTCTTGTTTATCGACCATCGGGGGTGGAGAGCTCCCGACAAAAGGCTGGCAACCAAGGCGGTAAGGGGGTCGGAAAGAAATGTAGGAAGTGTGATCCTGATGGGAAGCTTGGAATAATGCGAGGAGCCGAGCATAATTGTCCGTATAGCAAGAAGAACACGCATAAAAGGAAACGAGAGTAGTCAGACTTATTTGCTATTTATTAGGTTCCTGACAATAGCCGTCGAAAGTTGGACTGGTTCTGAACAAATCGCTTGTGAAGCGCTAATAGAACTGATTGTGATCCTGATGAATCTCAAGTTTTCTCCAACAAATATTGGCTCGTATTACGAGCAAGCCGCCATGGGTTTTCTTTCGCATCATGTTGGAACCTGCGCCGACATCGCAATGTTGGGTGATGCCATGATATCTTTGACTTTATCTAGTAATAATAGGCTCGCACTGGAACAGCCTAAACGGCCCTCTCCCAATTGTTTATCATGTGCGCGCCGTAGACCATCACGTTTCGTACTTGTCGTCTAAGTACCGTTACATGAATCCTGCCTGATTTGCGGGGACCATGCCGAGCTACTATATACCTTGTCTGCACATTCAATATGCACAGGATCTGATAAGCTCGCTAACGGCCTTGTACGTCGTCTACGGAGGATAAAGGTCCCCAGTATTCCACTACCGTGTACCAGTACAGTCTTGTTGTACCGTTGTTAACTTTCGCCTCGTACTGTTTTGTTGTGGTCATGCGACCCAGTCAGACTCTGTAGGACTGTACTCTGTTCAATGTTGCCGTCTTACCGAAGAAGGCGGGATGCTGCCACACTCATCGGGTGCCACGTAATCACTTCCGACCCACTCTCGCGAAAGGCGGCCGTGCCCTCAAAAGGGCTAAGAATTTTCTTCGATATCGATAAGTTGCAGCCCGAATCGCTGCCTAGAATGCCCGAACAGCTTATCGAATATGCACAAACCACCTGAACAGTTCCTCATCGGAATAAGTAGTTGCAGCGTCGAAAACCTCTGCCGATGCCGCTCCGCCG